ATATTTTTACATATATACATATATATATACACATATACATATATATATATATATATATATATATATATATATATATATATATATATATACATGTGTGTGTATGTATACACATAATATATATATATATATATATATATATATATATATATATATATATATATATATATATATATATATGTGTGTGTGTGTGTGTGTGTGTGTGTGTGTGTGTGTGTGTATATACACACCTATGTCTATCAGTCTGCCTATATGTCTGTGTATGTGTGTGTGTATACACACCTGTGTCTATCTGCCTATATGTGTGTCTGTGTGTGTGTGCGTGTATCAGTCTGCCTATATGTATGTGTGTGTGCATGTGTGTGTGTGCATATATATATATATATATATATATATATATATATATATATATATATATATATATATATATATATATATATAAACAAATGTACATATTTATGTATGGGCATATACATAACTTTGATATTACTTTAATACTTATAGGTGTTCCATTCCTATTACTTTGAGGTGAATGGGTACATGTGGACTGCAGTTGAAATTAGCACATAATCTTGAATGATCCCAGGAGTTTGTGAATGTTTCAAGGAAATATTACAGTAAGATGCAAGCACTTTCCAACGATAAATCTCCTTCCTGATAGCAGCCATGCAAACACTCAGTCAGAAATGTCAGGGTATTACTGAGTTTCCTGGTGTATCAGGGGAAATTGGCATTTTAGAGATACAGTGTGCATGTGATCCTATTTTAGAATTATATATGACATCTGTAAAACTGCAGACTTTTGGTAAACATTGACTTCAGCACAGAATTAAAGCAAACTCAGTACATAGAATGTTTGCTTGAAAATATTGTATGTATGCCCTCATATCTTATTTCTAATGTAAGCAACCCTACTAGAGGTTCTGAACTAAGATATGATGCAATTAATTGAAGAATCATGAATTTGATTGTGAGAAGGCATTTGATATGTGTCAGAGAAGATTAATTTGTGAAAATTTTCACATAAACATGGTCATTTAACAATGGGTTATTATTCCTACAAATGAACATGTAAGTAGTAATACTATTAACAATTAAAATTACAATGAGAGGGAAGTAAAGGGTAAAATTGGCAGGTGAGAAGGATTAAGGAGATAAAAGCAGGCATTATAAATAGTGTGTATGTGTATATGCCTGCTTGCATATGTTAGAAAGATTATAGATGTGTGGCAGTATTAAGGTGTAAGTGCATGTGAATGCACTTTTTTCTGTAAGATTAGCTGTAGGTTAATATTTTTTTTGTTGGTATTTGAAGTGATAGCCTAGATGAAAAAGTCATCAAGCATCAAATTTCACGCCAATTTTGCTTTGATTCGCTAGATAGTAGCGGTTATTGTCAAACTTAGCAGTGGCGCTGGCGATCCCTGACGTTGCCTTGTTTTTAGAGTAAGGATTCGAGTCGCTCGTAATCACTATGTAGTGGACGTGAGGTACCCCCACTAAGCAGGAGTCCAGACTAGGCGAGTCCCCCCTTTTCTAGCCAGCACCAGCACCATCTGTGGGGATCGGCGGTAGCCAGCTGCAGTTTTGCGTCCCTGGAGCCTTTTATTTTTCGTATTTTTATGTTCTATTTATTTTATCTTTTCTCACGGCCTCTAGTTTTATTTTAATTTCTTTTAATTATGTAAAGTAAACTTCTTTTATTTTCATTCATTTTTATTATTTACACATTTTTTAAGAGCCTATATAAAGAGCCTGTTTATGCTAGACTCCCTTTTGGGTTGTTGGCTCGGCAGTTCAGTGCTGCTCACGGAGCGCCCGGCCTCACTGGACGTCTCCTGTTTTGTTGTTTGTTTCTTCGATTTCCTACAAGAGAGAAAGATAAGTATATTCATGTTTTGTAAGAGGCCAGTTAGGATGTGTCATATGCATTGTAACTTTTGTGAATATACAGACTGAGGGGATCTCAGGTTTTCCTTTTTATGCTTTGGTTTTGTTTTATCCTTGGTTTGTTTATTTTACTTTTTATCTGGTTTTAAAAGGAGAATGGACACAGTTTATAATCAAATTAATGTAATAGTAAGTCTTACTTACGGGGTTAAGGGCTTCAGGGTTGTGACGAGCGGGTCATGCTGCAGTACACGCCAGCTACCACCCTTTTGAAAGCAGCTCCCCTGTTCGCAAGTTGCACTCTGCAAGACCCGCGTTGTAGCTTTGAAAGTGTCTCAAAGGGGTAAACACTACAACTAGACCGCGAGCGCCTCCGTTCGACCGCCGCCGTTCGAATGCTTTTAAAGTACGGCGCTAAGGCGAAAACGATGCATCGATACTTGAATAATTGGCGTAAACGATTCCGATCATGCATCGCCGATACAGCATCGTCGATACTTTATTGTAAGAAAGCATTCTGATATATAAATATTTGATTATGGCGTTTAATGCACTGTCCAAAGTTATTGGAGCAGATAAGTGTTTTCCAAGGCCATACGTGGATATTTAATGACTTTTAAATCACAGCGGCAATTACATTATACTGACATGTGCGTTCAAGGAAGACAGGGGAGAGTCTAATGCCTCTCTCATACTTCTTGAGCGCCACTGTCGATAACGCAAGCGAGCGAAAAAAAAAAACGCGTATAAATATACATACACACACGCACACACACACACACATGTGAATATATATATATATATATATATATATATATATATATATATATATATATATATATATATATATATATATATATATATATATATATATATATATATTATATATAATATGTATGTATTTATATATATATATATATATATATTATATATATATATATATATATATATATATATATATATAATATATATATATATATATATATATATATATATATATATATATATATA